TATCAGCGCTGACAGACTAAGAAGGGAAGTGGAAGTCAGAATCAACTTCTACACTAAAAAAATCGTTTAAAAACTGTTGATTGCATTCTGGTGAGGAATGAAATTGGAAATTATAATAAAAGCTGAAATGTAATAACTAGTTATTCACATATATAACTGACTATCTTGAAGAATAATTTTCTTTCTCTTTACATATTGCTTCTTTTTTCAACAGTTTCTTTTCAGTTAAATTTTTGGGTTAATTAAAGACTCTGTTATTCTAAAAGACTAATGAATTTAGAATGTATGGAAAAAGTGTATTTTATTTCAGTAGTAGAACATTCAGTAGAAATATGAAATACATATGGTAAAGTCTGGTCACAGAGCTGGTGTGGCATAATTTTTACAATTTAGGGACCCACTGAGCAACAAAATCTAGAAATGGCAAAATTTTTAGAATTTAGAGGAGGCATTGGAAGCAGAATTTAGAAAGGCACCAAGCAGCAGACTTTAGGATACACAGAGACTGTGTCAGGTGGAAAAATGCCTAATGCCAGCTCTGTGTATGATGCATTAATACATATTAGATGAACCTTTTGAATTGTCAGTTTTCAATTTTGTTAATAAAAAATTTCTTTCTATAATGCCTTTCCATATGATAAGATTAGAAGTCTTTTGATATGTCCATGTTGGTCTCGGAAAAGTAGAAAAATAAAGGGAAGATAAAAAGTTAATAAAGCGATCAGAACCAGAGAAAACATAATATTATGTTTTCATGTTCTTCCAGATGTTTCCATATGTAAGAAACAGAGGGTTCTACCATGGAGACATTTTCATTTTCAATTTTCTGGAATCTTTTGCATCATGGGTCTATAAATTTACTAAATCTTTTAAACTTTACAGAATCAACATCTAAATCTAAAAAAAATTACTCCTACCAATCTGTAACGCAAAACGAAATGATGTTTTTTTAAAAAATCGGAGAAAAAAAGTGCGAAATTAAATTTATAGAGAAACTGATGCATTTCTGAGAATTCTGTATTTGAGAAATGGGAAAATTCTACCATGAAAAAAATTAAAATAATTTTTAATTAATTACACAGTTTTTGCTCTTGCTAAAAATGTTTTGTAAACTGTGCTTTATAGATTATTCCTGCTATTTCCAGATTCAAAATGATAAATGTGGCCAAATGGAACTTATAAGATGTAGTGAAAATAAAAATGCTTTTTTAAATGTTTTTTCTAAATTAATCCATATTTACATTATTTAAGGAAAATTATCAATGTTAGAAGTTCTAAAAAAATCTTAAAAAAATTCCCAGATCTCGGAATAAAAATTTCACAGAAACCATCTTAAATCACCAAATTTAGAACGTTTAATAAAAGAGTCACATCCCAAAAGTGGAAAGTTTGTTGAGAGCTCTTCATTACAAAAAATGAATAATTTTGAAAGCTTATGTTTCGCTCTTGCTCGAAACTCGAGGAATCCACCATTATGTATTCAAAAGGGAGAAATTAGAATCATGAACCAATTCAAATAGCCATATTTGTCAGTGATACCAAAAATTCCTGCAAATGCTAATTCAATCAAAAGCCTCGTAAAAACAGACAAATTTCAGATGATTAAAATTAAGGACCTTCTGCCAATTTTGGCAAAAATTAAGGACTTTTAAGGACCCAAAATCGATTATAAAAAACATAAGGACTCTTAAGGACCGTACGAACCCTGTGAGAGTTTGATTTTTCGTATATATTTAATATGCTAGAGCTTTTATTATATTTACCGGATTTGGACTTTGTTTGGCAAAAGGAAATGCATCATGAAAATCTTTCATAACACATTTCCTTTTCTGGAAATTCTTTTCTGCTTCACAGTGAATAATTTATTCGGGGAAAACTACATAGTTCTGAGTTGTCAAAGTAACACTGACGTGATGGCAGTTCATTTGAAGTAAGTTATCCGCTTCATAATAAAGTGATATGAAGAAAGGTAATGAAAGCAAGAATTTCACCTCCATTGCAATGTTATTTCCTGAAGATAACGAGATTAAAGCTCAGTGAGAATCTTTTGCTATTTGCAAAACAAACTGTTGGGTCAGTCTAGTATGAAGTTTCAGTTAAGTTAAGGTTTGACCTAAGAACTCTTAACAAATGGAAAATCTCTCTCAGAAGATAAGCACTTCTCTTCAAATATTATAGCTCTCACTGCACTTCAAGTTGAGATATTTTGTACTGAGACATGGGGGTTGGACATAGGGGCTCCACACCTTAATAAAAATGGTAGATTTCATAAAAATTTACACGATTTCAATGGGAAACTTAAAAGTATACGCAGACAGGCAGTACCATTCCAGATTCTCAGTACTGCAATTTACTGGAGGAAAAGTTGTTAGTGTTACCAAAATAAACACAAATTACCCCACGTGAAATTTCTTTGGGCCACTTTCCATCGCTTTGGAGAATGATCAAGGCATAAGCAATATTTGAAGGCTGGCCAGAATCTTCTAGCAAACTGGCAATTCATGAAAATAATGTGCGAATTAAAAATCCTCCCTAGAATAGTTTTTCTTCCAAAGAAATTTTGTTTTTCCATCTAAAAATTACACCACAGTGGGAGCAGATCTAGTGTAACACAGGCCAATATTTACTAACTGAGGAATATGTCCCACAATGTTTTAATTAATCATTTAATACCTTTTCCTTATTCCATATTAATCCGAAGAACAAAAATAAAACTGCCAATTAACTTTAAAATGCTACAGAGCTACTCTGCTTCAGAGGATTGTAGAGTTCATTATAAATGAAGACTAGCAATATGTTCTTGCAATTAATTACCAATTTCAGACCCTAGGTAGGAGGGAAGTATAATAAGCAAAAATCTCAGCAATATGAAATATATGATTTTGTACAATACTGCCATAATAAAGGCACAAAAAAAGCAAATTATTTATTATGCCTAATGTTTAAAATTTTTATACGTTAAATATTAAAGAGCAGTGAAAGTCTAGTTATATGAAAACTGGCAGAAAGTTTCTGCAAAATATTTTCATATCTCACTCATTATTAAAATGTATGAATACAGTTCATCCATTTACATAAAAAATCAAATTCATCTACTTAATTATTAATTTATTTAATACTGTATATTTCTGCAGATAAGACCTTCAGATAAGATGAGGCATAAATTTTCGGAAAAGTTTTATAGTTTTAGCATATATCTGTCTTAAAAGGTGATCCCCAAACTATCAAGAAGCTCTGAATTTAGATCAGCAAACAGCATCTGAAACAAATAACAATTTTATTTTCTTGCGTCTGGCAGCACTGCAGACAGAAGCATGTGCTGAATCCCGAACTCGCATGTACATTTAACAAGTTTCATTGTAGCTTGTATTGCATGTTCAAACTTGTACTATAGGTATAATCAGCGTAAAATTTGTAAAGTGCAGGCCTAATCATGGACAAAACAAAAAGAAAGAAATATGAAGCAAGTTTCAAGTTAAAAGTCATAAAAGAGGTTTAAGAATCGAATAACTGTGTTGCAGCAAAAATTTTCAATATAACAGTTAAAATGGCAAGAGATTGGAGGAAGACTTGAAAAAAAAAAAAAAAAAAAAAAAAAAAAAAAAAAAAAAAAAAAAAAAAAAATGCCAATGAAAAATTTTTCTATGACAACAGGAGTAGCTTACCAGCTAGATTGAATAGCTGCAGAATTGGTATGCACTTATGAGAAATATAATTAGGACTTGTGCATTGAAGCACTGTTTTGGTTTGCAAGGGCACATTGTTTTGGTTAGCAAGGGCTAACCAAAACAAGGCAAAGAAACAGTAGATTGGAAAAATAGTTCACAAACAGAAAAATCTGGCAATACAACAGAAAACAAAAATTGTACAGAAATTTCCACAAAATTTTGACAATAAAGTCTTGCGCAAAAATGCAACTTTCCATTCTCTAATATTAAAAATATAGATGAAACATTAATGAACTTCGAATCAATAAACAATAGAACTGTGGAAATAAAAGGCATAAAAACTGTTAAAGTCAGAAGTACAGGCCATGAAAAGACCAATTTACACTAATATTAACATGCATGACAGATTGAACAAAGTTAAAAACCTATGGTCATTTTCAAGAGGACAACTACTAAAATAAAATCCCTGCCAGGCATTTTCGTACATTTTCATAAAAATGGGTGGATGAATGAGAATGGTGTAAAACTGTGAATGGAAGACATGTAGCATAGGCAACCAGATACTCTATGAAATTAACACAATTTGTTGGTGTGGGTATGTTTCACAGACACGAACCTGAGAACATTAAAAATCACTTAGCACAGAACAATGCAAAGATCGCTGTTATACTGGGTGGTTTAACTTCACTGTCACTCACCTTCAGATATCTCTCTGAATAAACCAAGATCACATACTTGAACCATGAAATAACCTGGATGATAAATATTGAAAAGTATACGAAAGCTGGAGATATGTAGGCTGCGTCGTACGATTTCATGAAACAGTGATCAAATCCTTAAAAAAATTATGGGATTTTTAATGCTATTGACAGCACTGAGGATGATTTGTTACGAGCTACTGATGACGAAGTGGAAATCGACTCGTTAGGTACAGAACATGATCCATACGATGAGGTTCTTGCCTTCGATGATGAATGTGAGGACTTTGCAGGATTTTAAATACATTGGTGAGTGATTTGTTTTATTTTGTGATAGTTTTAATTTATATAAAATCTGTCCTATAAGATGAACCCATATTTTGGGAGCCATTTTTATGTTTCAACTACCATCTTATCTGCAGAAATATATGGTAATTAATTAGCATTATTATTAAATATTCAATACTTTGTAATAATTCAAAAATAAAATGATATATTGTAAGAAAAAGTAGAAAGCAACTAATGAAATGAATAAGTGGAAAATTATTTTTACATGGAATATAAAATTTCATTGTCACATATGTCAGAAAATTAAAGTAAGCTTACTGATGATCATCCTCATCTTTTCTTTTTGGCTGGTAATTTTTTACAAGTTTCCTGAAAAAATTCAAGGGAACTTAATAAGGAGATAGTAATTATTTACAGAAAATTATAATACAATCAATTCCTATTACAAGATTTGGGAAAAATTTTAAACAAAATTTTCATTGCAGCAATAAATTAAAACAGGGATCTTATTTTAAGACAGCAAGAGAAGTAATTTTGAGCACCAGTTTGAATTTACATTTTCATTATATTCATATTCAAATTTATGACTTTTTGGTGAAATTCCGTTATCTTGAAAATAATGGATCACTTCTGCTTTATTTCTCGAAAAATTTTAAAAAGGCAGAATGCAAAATGCAGTAAAAATACCATACGATGTAAAATCTATTTCATATAATAAAGTAAGTCGATCGCTAAGTGCGGGACATATGTATCCCACATTAACTACGGCTTGAAAACCGTTTGTCAAAAAAATTATAAATTTACCCTTTTTGTGACATATTTTGTTCACTTGGATAGAAAACTGGGTAATTTTTTTAATTCGTAGTTAAAGGGTTAAATCATAATTTAAGTGACTATCTTCTCTCTTCTTTTTTTTTTTTTTTTTTTTGTGAATATTTTGAAAATGGGGAAGAAATCAGCCAAAGTGGATACTGATTTTCTGAAAAGACAACTGATATGAAAGTTTTATTTAAGCTTCTTAAATTTTGCACAATCCGCCTTGAGGAAAAATTTATGCATACATAAAACCTTAGGGGGGGGGAAATTATTCTCCTAATTCATGTTTTTTCACTTGATGTAAAATATGTCCAATACCCGGTATGTCAGCCAGGATGCCATATTACAATATAATGCAACAGGTTCTGTGTGTCACTGGTATAGGGCATTGCTGGTAACGGGGAGTGAGGTGGTGATGGAGCAGGCTCAACAAAGACCTATACACTTGCCAGCTGGAAGTACAGTACAAAGTCTGTAATCCGAATGTCCATAATCTGGAATGATCTATAATCCGGACTTCAAAGCTACAAACTTTATGGCCATGCGCATTTAATGCAGTATAACGGACGGTATAAGCTAGGCTAAAATTATTTAAGGCATTTCTGTTAATGTAGCGGACTGCGCTGCTCCCTAATTTTTTAGTTTGATCCAGCTTATTATTTTTTGCAGACTTATTTTATAAAAACTTAGCTTGAACTTTCGACTATGTCAAAAAGAGTTTCCAATTCTGGAGCTGCCAAAAAATCTACAAAGCGAAATCATGTTTTGATGTCCATTAAACAAAAAGTGAAATTGTTGCAAAAAATGGATAAAGGCATATCCATCTCAAAATTATGCGATGAGTTATGGCATTGGAAAGTCAACTGTATATGGCATAAGAAAAAAGAAAAAGGAACTTTTTGAATTTTTGTGGAAGCATCTTAACAACTTACATTGAAGAAATGTTTAATAAGTAAACAAATAAAATAGTAAGCTTTTTTTTTCGTAAATTTTGATACCCTTTAGATCATAATTGTTCTTTATTTCATAAATTATGAATTCATATTTTTAATTGTATAATTTCTGCATGCCATCTTACCAGATTTAAATTGATGATCTATAATCCGGAAAAACCCCTAATCCGGAATCGGCGAAGTCCCGACGAGTCCGGATTACGGACTTTGTACTGTATATGGTAGTGGTGGGGGCTTGAAGAAAGAAACCAGAAACGCCAATATATCACTTTCTTTGTTTACGTTGTGCCTTTCATGTTAAGAATAAGTCTTTAAGTGTTAATAGTAAATAAGTAATAAAAAAATAAAAGAATGCTAGTTGCCTAGGCATAGACTGGGTACATCAGCTAGTAAAAATATATGATCACTTAATACATTAATTGTAATTATTCATATTGATATTCACATTCTAGGAAAAAAAATCCTGACACAAAATTTCTATTTCTTTTACACAATTTAATAAAACAGAAGTACCTGAGTTTTGAGGCATATTCATATTCAATTGAGCCTCTCTCTTTTAAGAAAGAACTGTATTTGTCTAAGAACTCAATCCCTCGAAGGGTATGTTGTCCTAAATTGTCATACTGGTCCTATAAATAATAATTAAAAAAAGAACATTACACACAAAATTATTCTAATTTTTCTTCAAATTCTATACTTTTATAAAATATTTACAAAGGCATCATACAAAATTCTAAAAAATAAAACAAAGGCCAGACTTGCAAAAAACAACTTTTATATTTTAATGGTAAGCAAACAACCATATTCACCCACACAAAAATATATAACAAACACACATTAATTTAATTTTATTTATCCATTTGTTTATTTTTTACCCCCACCTGGAACATAATTTTGAGTCACCAAATATAGTATTTTAAATAAATGTTGGTATTTTTAATGATAGTTCTATAAATGTGTATGTTCAAATGCAGTAATATTGTATTTTTTATATTTTAGCACACGAAGGTATATGTATATAACTGCTTACAGCTCGTAAACAGCTCCTACAGAACTGAAGATATCTCTTATCAAAATTTATTGGAATAGGCGTCATATATTTAAACAAGCGATTTTTGACAGTTTATCGAATTTTTTATTTGGAATTTTTACTATTATTTGGAGAGAATGCACAAAACATCTGAGATGAAATATGTTGCTTATAAACTGAAGCTTGTTAACAAACTGCTAACAAAATAAGTGTTTTCATCAATTTGTTTACAAAAAATTATATATTTTAGACACAAACAGTAACTAATGAATTATACTACTGGAATATGCATATATATGTAAAATATAAAAAAAATGGGACGGCTTTGCTCTATGCGAACAAGCAACCTTTAATAAACTTTCTGCAATTCAGGATCTTCCCCCTAGACCAGTACCATTTCCAGAACATTCGAGAAATTGTATAACTCAAAAACTTTATAACTATATGAGAAAAGATCATGATTTATGATAGGACATAGTTAAAGCCTGTACGCTAGGTCCTGGATGTCTTTCTTCATGTCTTTCCTCATACTTCTTGCTTCACTAATCTACTAATGCTTTGCTTACCCGGCATCTTGTTTTTGAGGGGGGGATGTAAAATATAAAAAAATGGGACAGTTTTGCTCTATGCAAACCAGCAACATTTAATTACCTTAGCTGCAATTCAGGATCTTCCCCCCTAGACCAGTACGTTCCAGAACATTCGAGCTTATTACGCAACCGCTTCTATAAATAGAGAACTCTGCCATTTTGTGTCAGAAGCTCCTCTCTCCCTCTACTAAGATCTATGCTACTGCGCTTCTCACCTTTCTTCCCTTTGTTAGAATAGTTATGACATCAAAAGCCTAGATTTCATTGTATTTAGTTTGAAACACTATTTGATATGTAATTAGGAGAATTTCCTCAAAAAGAAAGATTATATGCCATTGGAATTGAATAAAGATGTGCAATTAAAAGCAAAATCCTCCTGTTTCATCATTCTGCTGCCTTAACACTTAAAAAATGCATACTTTCTTATAAGACAAATAAACCAAATATTTTGAACTTGATAACTACCTCTTTTTTTAAACATTTAGTACTGAAATGGCAGCACAGATTAGATTCCATTATACATAAACATTTTTATGAGTATAATGTGAGAATGGGTGGCATGGCAAAATTGAAATTAATTAATTATATCAAAGTATACAGATGGATACCTGGCTAAGGGATATCTCCATACAGGATTTTCCAATGGAAATTCGCATTATTTTCCTGGGAGGGGAAAAATTAAAATTCCAAATAAACACTCTGATGAAATGATACTTGAATTACTACTGTTCTCTGGCTTTACACACCAGAAGGCCATAAAAACTGAATTTTGATGTTTAAACTAACTTGCAAGCACATTTTCAAGATCTCATGCTAAAGTGTAATAAAATATCTGTTAATGGAATAATGGTTTGGATCTTCTCCCGATAACCAAAAATTTGAAAATTAAATTTTTACCAAGCACAAAATATAACAAATGCAGTTACTATATCGTTCAACAAAATTTGTCGTTATATCTTCACCAAATAGATCAATTTTCGGTACGTTCTTAAGAATTTATTTCCTTTATTGAATTTGTTTGAATACTGCCTTTAAATGAGGCTTCAAATAGAATAATCTGTTAACTCTTAGAATAACGGGGTCTAAAATAATATTTATTTTGGTTTGAGTTTCGAGAGAGAAATGCAGAAGGGCAATCTTTTTTTGCAAAGACGGACGTTGATTCTTCAAACTTCAAAATGTTTTAAGTTTATTTGTGATAACAGTCAACACCACATTAGTGGCAACTGTTTTGCCTTTCTAAATATAAACAATAATACTCTTAGAAGGATGAAGTATTTTCAAGCAAGTAAAGCAGTAAACAGACTTCAACTTCCAATCACAGATCTTACAAAACGACATTCGTATAATGAAGGCGAAACAGTTATTACTGCATTCCATTCTTAACACTAAATAATTAACGCAATTCCACTTTCCGACACTAAATAAACAGAATTCTATTTCCAAACAAACACGAAGATGCATTTTCATATTACATAATTAAGAAGAAATGTAAAATACTGGTTTAAAGCTTTACAGTTCTCTGTTTAAGGTTATACACAAACAACTTCAGCTGAGTGCCACACTTATAAGCTTTATAGAACATTTCCTTAGTTTGGGGAGGGGGAAGCAGAAATCATCTAGCCATTACTATCCGAAGCAAAAATTAAAAATTGTTAAGTTACACAATCGTAGCTTTGTATTAAATGAATATTTTATTAATACGAGACGCATTTCTTATTATCTTTAATACTGAAAAACGCGTATTGTTTGTTCGGCGTGTTATTGTATCTTAATTACTAAAAAGAGGTCTTTATTTTTATTTAGTTTTTGATTTCTTCTCAAAATATTACAGTACTTTTCAATTCATTGGCTTCTACCTAACTTTTATCTTTCTTTTATGAATTATCAATACGAAGGGTTGATCTTGATTTTCCCAAACTTGCACAACCTTAACTTTCCATACGGCAGCAATGGCTATATCCGACCCACCAATAACCCATTATATTCCTCTTAACTTTTTTAATTAATTTATTGGCTATACTGCGAAAGAAACAGTTTTCGCTCAAATGTTTCATTTCGAAGTCAATAAAACTAGAAACTGATCTTCATTTTCTGCAACGATCTTCAGAGTTTCGATTGTGTTCTAATGAAAGTACACGAAGTTTTTATTACTTCTTGTGAGTTTTAATTAAGTCTTTTCACTATAAATTATAATTTCACTTACGTTTTAAATTCTCTGGATTATTTGTTTAAAGGTAAAATTTTGATTTCAATTTTTCACAGAAGTATTTCAATTTTTCCACTTAAGTTTTCAATTCTTTAAATAGAATTAATTATCTTTATTCAAGGTACAAGATTCTAATATTAGAATTTAATTTGTTTTTTCCTTCCTTTATGGACGGGGGCAGAATTTTCGAGTGAATTATTATAATTAAAATACACTGAAATGGTTCATCGCCTAATTCTGGATACAGAAAAGCAAGGATTTTTGTTGGAAGAGAGATTTCAGTGTTCCTCCTCCTGACGAAGTGGCATTGAAACTGACTGAATTCCTCTTCTATTATGTTCGTTTTTCTTTAAATTTCATTAATTTTTTGAATTGGGATATTGCTTCTTTGAAAAGTTTTGGTTTTAACATTTTTAAAATTCTTTATTGCATTTATAGGATTATTAAAAATTTATTAATTATGAATTTCAATTTTTGGTCTGTGAAAAATTAGTTATATATACACACGTTTGGTGCGGCCGATTGCAATGAAAAAGGGTGGTGAACAACATGTTATAACAGTCCCATGTACAACATTTTAACATTCTAAGTCTACTCTTTTTTTATCTATGCGAGAAAGCTACATACGTACAAATGTCAATTAAAAAAAATCTCTTAAATCCATTTTGCAAAATCAGTCCTTTATTCTGTACCACGGGCGTAGCTAGAGGGGGGCATCTGTCCGGGCGCAGAATCCAAGGGGCGCCAAACTGATGTTACGACATTTTAGAATTAAATGTTTTCTATCCTTGGCAAGCAGTAGTTGGCGCGAAATCTTCAGTTGTCCCTGGGCGCTGAAAACCCTAGCTACGACTCTGTTCTGTACATACGTACAGATGTCACGCAAAACAATCATTCAGATGAATTACAGAGCGGTCAAAATGGCTATTTTCGTCGAAATATGACACCCGAATTTTTTCGCGATTACAATACTTCCTTTACTTCGTATAAGGAACTAAAAATCATGCCACGGTTGGAACTTACAAGTAGATTTGATGTTAGTGAATTCTTCGAAATCTTGGTTAAAAATCTACCGCTTATATATGACAGAACTACAAGCACTTCCCAAAATCAAAGAAAGATGCTGGAACTTTTCTTGGCCTCCGGATTTCCTTTTCTATAAAAAAGGTCGGAGAAATTTCTCTCCACCTGTAAAGACTCTTTTTTTCCTTTCATACATTTATTTATTGAAATTATACAACTAGAGGGTTTTTAAAACGGTATTTTACTTCCCATCAATATCATCCCAGCATTTAACAAATATTTATTTTGCCTATTGCTACAAGTGCGCATTTAGAAAAACCCGCTTAAAGAAATATTTTCAAAATTTAAGAACATACAATGAAAATCGTGTACTTAAAACAAAAGAGAGATTCTAGCGTTTATTGATTTTGTAATTATAATTTATAAATAATGATGTAATCACTGACATCTAACAGGATTATAATTATATTTTTTATAAGGAATTTTAAAGCGTACATAACAAAGTCATCCGACAACTTCCAGTATGAAGACCCTCGATTAATTTCACCTGGTTACCACTAATTTACAGCATTTAAATTTTATCATGAGAAAGGGCAAACGACTTTTCATAAAAGGAATAACTAAATCAACATGTATTTAAGTAATCAGATTGTTTATTGAAGCCAATTGTTGGAAATGCCGATTTCATAATTATTATTAGTAAAGTGCATCGTGAATGCAGATAGTAAATGCACTATTCACACAATTTTTTGGTACACTACAGAAATAAGCGAGGAA